CTTAGAAAAGTTCAGTGAATCTCTGAGGCTCCCACCCTAACGACAGCAGTACGCAGCAAGTTATTACGAGCTGTGACCTTGCTTGGCTGGCTGGTGGCAAAAGGCATATTTTCTGAATACTCCTATCTTGCAAACCATACAAGGTCTTAGAAGCTTGACAAGAGATTAGCTAAAGCAGAACCTTGAATCCTGACACCCTGGAAAAAAGGCTCACCGAAGCATTTGGATCAGCAGTGGCTGGGGAGCTCTTTTACTGCGTGAGCTAGAAAGGACAATGAAGTAGTGTGGAGTACGGCTGCAGCGGCCAGGAGGGAGGAGCAGCAAGTGTATATCCCTAATTTATAATACAAGTAGGAATAAAATTTTTTAAAAAGGAGATTCTTATTTATCCTGCATCCCCACTCAGGATTTCTGCAAGCCCAAGGGAAAGGTCTGAGACAGTACTGTTTTGAGCTTTTCTGCTGTATTACTGTCACTGGCTACCTATCCTCAGAAAATTCAAACAAAGTAAAATCCTACTTCAATGAATGTCAGGACTGGTTTTGCAACCTAATCCCCTGGAGCCAGGCTTTTGCTCAATGAATATACCCCAAAGAGCCTGGAATAGTAGATAAACCAAGAGCAAGCTTTTCCCTTAATTCTCTCTTTCTTCGCCCTAACTTTGGGGCCAATTCTGAAGGTTGTTTGAACAATGTGGGCACCTGCCCAGGTGGACAGGCATCGAGCCCTATCAGCTGATTTCTTAGAGAGCTTTCAGGTGGACAGCTCTGGGATGGTCAGCCAGGGAAGAGCATTGTACCAATTTCTTGAGGCAGGACTGAGAGATGCAGTATAGCAGAATGGCTGGAGAAGTCAATGGTTAAGTAGTCAGAGTTCAGAGGTTAAGCCTTGCAGCCAGTTTATATCAGAGACTAACATATGACAGCTTTTCCAGGGAATGAGCTATCTGAGTTGAAGGGCAAGTGTCCCAGGACATAGTGCTTACTGTGTCATTCCCTTGCATGGCACTGGCCACAGAAACAAATGTGTTGCGGCCATGGGCACCCAAATGGGATCAGGAAGACCTTGGACTATGCAGAAAGATAGCACAAAGTATTTATAGTGAACTGGTGAGTGCAAAATCCAAGATTTCACAGAGAAGCTCTTTGTCCCCCTCCTCCTCCCCTTCTGTGGGGATCTGCGATTGCTTCTACCCTATGGGGGAGCATCTGACACACAGAGAAACTTCGTGTCAGCATCCTGTAGAAATGAGCCTTCAACAAAACTCAGGTTCCCCAAATCCATGAGGTCTACACGCTGTCCTTTTGTTGACAGTGAGCCTGCCCCAAATTTGCCAATCTAAAATATTATCTGAGGTTGGATAGACAGCTTTGAACTCCCAAGGAGAATGATTTGCTTCTGAGGCCAAGATGGGCACATTTCAGTGTGCTGCTATTGGGACCCAGAGAGATGATGAAGAAAAAGACACAATATTTAGAGCCTTTTTCAGGGTGTGGGAGTATCTCCTTCAGTCACAGCTCTGCTACTGTCATTCCTACAGCCCCCGTGGGTTAAAATGCAGCTCTGGTAAGATTCAAGTATTTAATTGCTGTTCTGAATACCCCAAAACACAAGAATCCAGCTTTTCAGATCTATATCGGCAGAGTTACAAGGAGAACACATGCTTTGACTAAAGTTCGTTAGAATTAAGAAATTCAGATGATCGAGGCAGCTGTTCAGAATTTTTTTTTTTTTTTTTTGGTCACACTCAGAGAGCTGTGATCAACAGCTCAATGTCCAAGTGGAGACCAGTGATGAGCAGCATTCCTCGGGGGTCAATATCGGAACTGGAGCTGTTTAACATCTTTGGCAGAGACATGGACAGTGGGATTGAGTGCACCCTCAGCAAGTTTACCAATGGCACCAAGCTGTATGGTGTGGTGGACACGCTGGAGGGAAGGGATGCCATCCAGAGGGACCTGGACAGTCTTGAGAGGTGGGCCCATGCCAACCTCATGAAATTTCACAAGGCCAAGTGCAAGGTCCTGCACGTGGGTTGGGGCAATCCCAAGCACAAATACAGGCTGGGTGGAGAATAGATTGAGAGCAGCCCTGAGGAGAAGGACTTGGGGGTGCTGGTAGATGAGAAGCTCAACATGAGCTGGCAAGGCACACTTGCAGCCCAGAAAGCCAACCATGTCCTGGGCTGCATCAACAGAAGCATGACAGCAGGTCAAAGGAGGTGATTCTCCCCCTCTACTCTGCTCTTGTGAGACCCCACCTGGAGTACTGCATCCAGCAGGAAGCACATGGACCTGTTGGAGCGAGTCCAGAGGAGGGCCACAAAATTGGTCAGAGGGCTGGAGCACCTCCCTTACAAGGACAGGCTGAGAGAGTTGGGCTTGTTTAGCCTGGAGAAGAGAAGGTTCTTGGGACACCTTATTGCAGCCTTCCAGTACCTGAAAGGGGCCTACAGGAAAGAAGGGGAGGCACTCTTCATCAGGGACTGTAGTGACAGGATGAGGGGTAATGGCTTTAAGCTGAAAGAGGGCAGATTTAGATTAGATATCAGAAAATAATTTTTTACTGTGAGGTTGGTGAGGCACTGTAACAGGTTGCCCAGGGAAGTTGTGGATGCCCCATCCCTGGAGGTGTTCAAGGCCAGGCTGGATGAGGCTTTGAGCAACCTGGTCTAGTGGAGGGTGTCCCTGCCCATGGCAGGGGGGGCAGAACTAGACGATCTCTAAGGTCCCTTCCAACCCAAACCATTCTATGATTCTATGATTCCATGATTTTGAGGAATTCATCCTGACTGTCTTCACGGGTTCATCCCTTTTGAAGTCAAACACACAAATTCTGCCTCCTGGGAAGCATACAGACATTTTAACCACTTCTGACTTTGTGAACAAGGTATCTTGAATGTCAAATATATGCAGCTAGAGCTAGAAGACCACAGAAAATATCTACTGGATTTAGCACTAACAGTTCCACTGGAGTTTTGAGCGGAGAGACGAAGAGATGGGCTCTCCAGTGACTGGGACATCCAGTGCTGGTCTGCTGGAGGAATTTCTTTTGGAGCCGAGGTGAAGCCCAACAGTTACAGATCTTTGCTACTCATGCCACAGGCAGATAAAATAGAAGTGTATGGGGCTAACAAGGCAAGACTTTTTGTGAATAAAAAGCCTTTTTGTTCCTTTTTTTTTTTTGACAGCAAGAAGAGGAGAAAATGAAAATTGGATTGTGTCCATTTTTAGGCAGATTAAAATGTTATTCAGATGAGAGACAAAGCATCTCAAAAATAGCTTGAGCAATATGAAAGTGGAGCAATTGCTGAAGACCTACAAGAATAAAAGGAGGGCAGCAGCATGGGAAGCCAATTTTGAAGTAGTGCCTGCTTTAAAACACACTCTGATGCCAGCAGAAGCCTGCTCCTGCACCCCAAATCCATGGAGTGCTTCAAAGGCAACCAACCAGTCTGGTGTGTGCCTGGTCATCCCACAAGCTCAGTTGTGCATTTTACAACCTGAATATTCAGCAAAAGCCCAGCCAGCCATTGCCACCCGCTGTGACACAAGTCTCACATCTCCCACTGAAAGCAATCAGACTTACCCAGGTTTGTCACATCTCCCTCTAAAAATGATAACAGATCTCAGATTAAACGGTTTCAGAGCCTGATCTACACCAGTAGATCATCTGGTGTAGATCCAGATCTACAGTGTGGATAGAGCATCTCCTCCAGTGTGGACAGAGCAAGGCTGTGATGGACCAACATGCAAGGAGGAGACCTGATAAGGCCACGTGTCTGCACGCTACTTTGGCGGAGGGCAGGGGACACCCATGCCCCCTGTCAAGCTCTTCTCTGCCAGCCCCTCCGCGTGCCTTCTCCAGCAGATCCGCGTCAGCCCCAGTGCTGGCCCGTGGCCATCTGGCCTGCCTCCGCCTGCCTGTCGCTGCCAGTCACGGGGCAGCGGTGACAGCCCGGTCAGAGGAGGGGAAGGGGTGAAAGGCTGTGCCAGGGGGCTGTTCTCCTCCAGCAGCACGGTGCAGGTGAGACAGGAAAGCGGCTGCCGGTGCTGAGCTCTTGGGGAAGGCGGAACTGGTCATTGTTGCCAGGAAATGAAGAGGAAGGAATATGTGGGAGCACTTGCTGGGAAATGGAACAGGACTGTGAGAAAAAAGGTCCCTCCAGGCCAACTGGCAGGTCGCAGGAAGGGAGGACAGCAGCGATGATAACATCTGTCCATCGTCTTGAGGAGAGCCCTGCCTCCTGCTCCAAGACATCAGCCTGGGCATGTGCCTTATTTCATCCCTCTTAGTATGATAAGGTTTTAACCACTCAATGTGTGGGGCTCAGTAACTGCTGTGGGCATGGGGGGTTGCAATGTAAGCTACTCTCTGCTTTGAGATTACAGGTCCAAGGGCCAGCAATTCTCCTGGTACCCCACAAGCAGAGAAGGTGCTTCGGAAAAGACGTTGAATGTCAACCAGCAACCCCGGCTGATGCGCCAGGCAGGAGGAGGAGGGAGTCCCAGGAGTGCTCACCTCCTTTGCTGCTGAGGAAACAGGACTTTTCCTCTAGTCGTGCAGATGAGGCTCTGAAACCCTTTAATCCGAGATCTGTTATCCAAAGCCTAATCACTGCGATGCCCAAGGGTTTACAAGGAGAGGTACCCTTATTAAAAAATACAGTAAATACCTTCTATTTTTGTTAAGCCCTAGTAGGACAGGCTGTGCCTTGGTTCACTGTACGCGTGAAGCCTGTCGCTTCTCAAACCCTGCCTGCGTATTCCCAGCATCGACATCTTCCACGCCCTCCCTCTTGCTCGCTCCCTCTCTCTCAGATGATGCAGAGTGCCAGCAAGTCCCTCAATGGTGTCATATCTGTCCTTTTTATTCATTGCAGGGTTTATTTTTAGCTTGAAACAACTGCTTCCTAAAAATGGAGTTCCTAATGACACGGGAGCTGGACACAGCTATGTAAGGTATCCAGGGCTTGGCCTGACAGCTTCTCCCGTCTGTCTCTTTGTTGTGAGCCCAGGACAGCAAAGTTTGCTGCTCCCCACCAGCCTTGCAGCGTTTGGACTGATCACTAAGGAGCCAGCAGAAAGAGAAACTTCGTTCGAACTTCACCTGGAGCCTTTGGTCTCCCCCCCTTCCCAAATTAAGAAGGAGGGGGACGTTTACCCGCCCTCCACTGCACTCCAAAGGCTCCCCTATGAAGGCGACTTGCTGGATCCTGGCAGGTTTTTACCTGCTTTTCTGCTGTAAGGCAGAAGAAGGACTGAATTTCCCCACTTACGATGGGAAAGACCGAGTGATCGACCTGAATGAGAAGAACTACAAGCAGGCCCTGAAGAAGTATGACATGCTCTGCCTGCTCTTCCACGAGCCTGTGAGCTCTGACAAGGTGTCCCAGAAGCAGTTCCAGATGACAGAGATGGTCCTGGAGGTAAGCACCGCTGCGTGTCCCAGCCGAGGTCAATACCACAGCACTGCTTGGAGCTGTGGAGAGGAGCCACAGGACGGGACAGTCAAAGGGTCTTGTGCAGTGAGGGGTTGAGCACCCAAAAGTTTGGGTTTGTTAATTTGGATTTGAGTTAGCCCCTGAGTTCTGTGAAGCCCAGGAAAAAGCCTCTTTTGTGCTCTTCTGAGTTGTTTGCTGGGAAACAGTCTTTCTGGATTGTGCATCAGAAACCCAAGCAATTGCAAGTAACCTTGCAAATCTCAGCAACGTGAACTCAGATCAGCTGAGCTTTCCCAAATCTCAGCAAAGACCTGAGTCTGTAGTCTGAAATTTTTAGATCCTTTCTCATTCTGTGGAAGCTAGTATACCCCTTGTATTCTGGATTCAGTCCCATTTCCTATCCCACTAGGAGCAATCAGCCAAGAAGCCTTTCCAAACTGTGCTGCAAACAGGCATCCTAGCTCCCCATCTCAAAGGCTCCACGTTGGCGCAGCATTAAATCCTTTTTTGTTTTTCTGACACTTGGTTGCCCACTTGGAATCAGGCTGTAGCTGCTTGTTAATGCAACCATTCACTTCTGTGCTGGAAAAAAAGTGCTGTTAATTCTTTGGTGAAAGAATGATTAATTAATCCTCAGTAAAATTAATAATGGTAAAAATTACGAAGTAGATTCATAGCATTCTTTCTTATAGTGTACCTGTGATCTAAGGAATCATACAGCAAAAAGCCTGCATTGCTAGGTGCTTGTTTCATACCAGTGGCTTACAAATATTCCCTCTTAACTAAAAGACATGTTTGTAAAGAAAGTGAGAATTGCTGGAGAAACACATAAGCTTTATTTATCAGATCCAGTGAGAAAATGCATTGCACCCCTAGGAGTAAAGCAAATGTGAAGTGGAAAATACACTTGCTGAGGTCTAGGACCTGTAAAAGTCCGATGCCAAGTTCAAAGTCTACAGACCTCCTCAGCAAGCCTGACAAGAAGAAAGAGTCAAAAGCTAACCAGATTTTACTCACCTGTCAGGAAACAGTTACTTGCTGCAGGTGAGCAATCAAATAACATTTGGCAAAGAAAAGAAGAAATAATGCTGGAACTCCAGTTGAAATGTTTATGGTTGGTATTATAAATGCATTGTTATTTAATAGGATAGCTATTTTGTGCTCAATAGATGGTACATGGTTACTAAATACATATTTATAGAAACCTGACAGAAGCAGGTATCTGTTGTGTACTATCAGTTTTAGTCCCCATGACACCTATACTCACATTAACAATCAGCCATATCAAGGGTACAATGGCTACGGTACAATCTGGCTTAAAGCTTTTATTTTGCAGGATTTGATTCAGCAGTGAGTACATTAGCTTAGGACTCCAGCGATTTGGTTTCCAATTGCCTCTCTGGCGTGGACTTATTAGGTGACCTTGGGCAAGAGACTGAGGATTAGATCCTCAACAGATTTTACATAATTGCAGTGCTCCCAGTCCACTAATGGTCAGCCACCAACTAACTGTGCCACACAGCAACCGGCACTTGTGGCTTTGACCTCAACATTTCCCAAGCACTTGCAACACTGATTCAGTGCATGTCTTGAAGTTTCACAGTCCCTCCCTGGACTGGCAACTGCAGCAGCAGCAATCTGACAGTCCAAGCACAAGAGCAATCTGCAGGTTGAGCACTCCTTTGCCTCTGTCACCTGAAGGAATCAGATGAAGAGAGGGTCTCGGAAGGCAACACAGGAACACAGAACACAGCCCAGCAAGGTGTTGGTGCTTCCAATTTCTGTACTAAGTCAATCACGGGAGCACTCACAAAAGGAGTGGGCAAGCCAGGTTGTAATCTGCTCTGCCTTGTGACAGCATTCACCTCCCTCCCCTTAAACCATAATGTGTTGTGCTGGGGGAGTCACTCTCAATCTCCCCTGCCAGAGCTCATCCAGCTGTGGGACTTCACCACATGTTCACCAGGTCAGGGAGAGGGAAAGAAATGGCTGCAGTGGCTCCATGGCTGAGGAGTGGAGCCATTCACCCGGGAGATGAACTGCCTGGGATGGGTCTCCCTGAAGGCAATCAGCAGCTGAACCCAGCTCTCCCGTAATTTGAGCAAGTACTCAGAGCAGTGAGCTGGGTAGGCACAGGAGCAGTGACAGGGACTCTCCTTCCAGCCAAACCTGGGAAAAGTTCACTCAGGAAAGCTTTATGTATCTAATTTCAGTAAAGAGTTCAGGGCTCTGAGTGCTGAAGGTCCTTTATGCCTGAAATAAGGTATCTAAGAGGCAAGCACTCCAGCCCTCGCTATTCCCTGCCAGCCAGCCTGGGGGGTTCTCGACATCGTGTTTTTCTGTCTTACTGCACTGAGAATTTACCTGCTGACACACAAGAAGTGCTGCTTCCACAGAGTAGAAAACATCATAACCTTAGCCTCCCTTACGTAAAATGGCACTGACCTCCATCATGAGGAATAATAGGGAGCCTTAATCCAAAACACAGGCAGGTTTGGAGCTAAGCAAAGATCTGAACTGTGTGATTACATCCTATTGACTGACAAACGTGAGTATGTGTGCACATGGCAGGGAATGGGCTTAATGGATGTTAAGTCCATAAAACCCCTGAAGAGTCCACCCTTTCTATTTCTCCCACATGTACCTTATAGAAATTTATAACTGCAAAGACCTGAAGAAATACCTTAGACACCAAGAAAAGGAGAGATCCAGCATGGGGGTTTTTTTTTGAAATGTGTAGCTTGTGGTCAGTAACAAGCTCTAACTGGGCCTTCTCACATGACTGAGGAGCATGAGAGGGTCTCTCCTACCTGGGTCCTTTGGTATCTGACAGGGGTTGAGCTCACTTGGCAACATTTCCTTCTTTCAGGGCACTTCAGTCTCTTCCCTTCCAAGTCTTTGCTCTTCATGAAGCTTGCAATAACTTTGTTATGCCTGAGACCCCTGACTGCAGAAAATTTGGCTGAAAAGGGCCAACAGCCAGAAAAATTATTAGAGGAGGCAGCTGACAGACAAACCTGAGGGGAGAGACATGAGAATAACAAGGGTCTTATACCTTTAGGAAATCAAGCTGAAAACCTGGCAACACATAAATTGAAGGACATATTTAAGGACTTTACCAGACAATAACAGCAGACTGAGGAGAAAGTGATATGATAGGAAAAATTTCCTTCCCAGGACAGAAGCCCAGCATGCAGGACTCGCTGACACTGCCAATGCTCAGGGTACACACCAACCACCACCAGAAAAGGGATGCCATCGTTAAGCTGGTATTACAGTAGGACACCCCACACAGGGGTCTTCAGCTCCCCACACCCAGGTATACTGGGAACCCTCACCAGATAGCCATGGACCCCAGTGTCCCTCTCCAGTTCAGAAAGGGAAAAAGGTGAAGACCATCAAGAAGCAGTCCTGACAGCTCCTGCCACCTACACTGCTGGGTGCTACCTGGTGGGAACAGGGTCTGGAGACAGGGTCCAGGGAGAAACAGCAGCTTCTATGGACCATCCCTTGTGCATGGCAACAGGTCCAAGGATGGCAGTGCCAGCCCCTCAGCTGGGGTTGTTGGGTTAGTCTGTTAGAAAAATAGTTAAAGCAATGTCTGGAGATGCAGCTGCCTACTGCTTTCTGGCTAAGGTGGAAAAGGGTGGAGGAAGGATTGTAATAAGACAACAAAGGGCAAAGACAGCATGAGCACAGGCTGCTGCACAGCTCAGGTTAAAGCGCTCTTCTCCCTTGCTTGCCTTTCTCCTATGACCCCACTCTGCACCACTGACTACTGGAAAGCTTGAGTGGGGAAAAGCCTCTGTACAGGGCAGTGCCAGAGGGTGAACCAGGCAGTCCCAGAGCTAACAGTAGCTATTCCTACTCTGTGGCGATGTTTACAAGATCCCTGCATGCCCCGTGAGGTAAGCACAGTGAAGAAACGGACAAAACAGCCAGACACAAAGCTTCATAGTAAGTATTTAACAGACAAGTTAGAAAAAAAGCTACTTGTCCTATAAAGTCTCAGCTTCAATGAAGTAGGGACAAAAGAGGAAAATACAAAAGCAGTGAAGCTGAGAAATGCTGCTTTTCTTCTCTGTAGTTCCCCTACCGTATTTCATCCGGTCTCATACCACCGCTTCTCAGACTTTCTTCCCTCTCCCTTTCACCTCTGAATCTCCTAAGTACTGGGATAGTTTTGCTTTCCAGTGTGGCAGCCCCTGTCTCTGGGAATCATGTAACGAGTAATGAAGCAGTGGGTTAGGGGCTTTCCTTTGCACTTGAGAAGCTCTCTCCAGCAACTGAGGTTGTCTCACTACCATAGCAGGCTGCCTGCCGTGTACTCCATTAAACTCTCATCTGCTCAAACTTGCTCAGTCCTGGCTCCCCTGTCATTCTTCCCTTGTCATCTGTGTGCATGTGTAATATCCTTAAAAAAAACCCAAACCATTGGTCAAGCCCAGATATTTTAGGCCATTCAATGCAACGGTGTCTCTGGGCTGAAAATTCACGGAGAACTGCCCTAGAACAAATCAGTCTGATTAAAGGTAAAAGAAGAGGGATGTGGTATTCCTCTTTCTGGGATCAACTTGGCCTCTAGTGATAAATGGCAGAATAAAATTAAACTCCTTAACATATTTGGCTAATTCTGCCAGAGAAAATTACTCCTACAAACCTGGGGGCATGAGTCCATGAGATCACATTGCATAAGATCTCCCTCCCAGTGCCTAACCACAGCCAGTAGCTACCTCTGGCATGAGAGGGAAAGATACAGATTTTGAACCCAGTAAAAGGCTAGGGTTAAACTGGGTGTAAGGTCTGGCTCCTCCCAGTTCATCTGAGAGCAAGGATTTAATTTTCAAGTGTGGAAACTACTGAGGCTCCTCTCATGAGCTTCCAGATCAGGATGGAAAAACTGTTGCAAGATCACCTGGTTTTGGGGCAGTTCCACCCACCTGGTCTTGAAATCTCTTGAGAGCAGGTGGTTCCCATGAGAGTTC